CGGCGTAAAACTGTAGGTCCCTCCGCTTTGTGTGCCAATATACAAGTCGCAGGAGAAGCTCGGCCAAACACTAACATATGTGTAAGCGCCAATCTACTACTACTACTAGTTAAGTGCCCGTTAGAGCTAATTTAATGAACGTTTCTGAGTGCGGCTGAAAGATTTATAGTAGACATTTCTCATATAATGAAACTAGTTCATAGTTTTTCTCGGTTTACTTGTAAAATAAACATTTCTAGAATAAATGTATATTTTGATTATTATTCGGGTCTTGTCTTTTTTAGTGCCTTCTTTTGCCTGTTTTGCGATTTCTAGTGCCTTTTTCTGCTTATTTCGCTATTTCATTTTGCCTTTTCTAGCCTATTTCATTATGTTATTTTGACTTTTTTTATAGGTTTTGAGGTCCTAAAAATCCGTTCTCTGTTTATATGTTTCCTACAGTTGCCAGACGTACTGATTTTATCAGTACAGTACTGATTTTTCAACTCTTGTACTGATTTTATTAATTTCTTCAATCAGTACGCTAATGTCCTGATTTTTCAAAATTTGTACTGATTTGTACTGAATTTTCAATTCAAACAAAATACTTTAAGATTTTCTTAAGGTTTTTACATAACTTTGAAACTTCCTTATGGTCTGATTATGCATACTTCGCATAACTTCGCATAAACTTTAAACTGTAATTTCGTATGTGCTTTGTATGTATTCCATTGCCCATAAATTAGCAGGACTTTTAAAAACTAGGCGATCTGTTGAGTTTAGATTTTGCTTCACATTTTCTTAAGTTACATTTTTATTGGACTGGTTGTTATGCGAAGTATGCATAATCAGACCTTTAAACTCTACTGTAAAAAGTTAGAAGAAAATAATTTAATTATTGTTGACATGTTTCAGATAATGTTTCATATGCCCAAGAAATTAATACAACAAAAAGTTCAATCGTTTTATGGGCATATCGCCGGGTCGTTACGTACCAGTTGCGATAATATGATGGATCTTAAATTATTTAGAAGTCTGACTTTTTTTGGCGAGTGTTGCTAGTTATCTCGAAAATAACTTTCAGTTTAACGACAACAAATTTGAATATTCGAATCGCTTTTGCCTATAACTTACGACTATTTTTTTCACAATTTACTGACATTGTTAAAGAGTTTTACATGAAAGAGATACTATTTTTAGCGAATCCTTAATCTTTAAAAGTTTTTGCGTAGTTGAAAAAATTAATTTAAGCCATGACGAATTATATATGAAGTCCTTAAATAGTGGTACTTTTCCACAGTTTTAAAAACTATGTAATTTTGGTTTTTTCAATACTACACTCAAACAGCAACTGAAAGGATTTTAAGTATAAAGTTTGCTTGCTAATGCAAAGAAAGAAACCGGCTTCTAATTAAAATTATTTAAAGTGAACTTCATATTAAAAATAACTTTAAAATGAAATGTATAGAATTCTTCTAATATTTAAGCAATGAAGATGGAAGTGATCTTATTATTGCTATTCAAAAATGTCATAAACATAAAATAATTTATTGGCTTCTGTGTAAAATGATGTGTACACTAGGGTGGTCAAAAAACAGTAAAGTCAGAATTGTAATGCTTTCACCCCCTAGGATTGTAGTATATCGAAAAAATCAAAAAATATTTAGAGGTCGCTCAAAGCGCTCAAAGTTTTCCATGTATTTTTGTATGGGGAAAAAACGTATTTTCGTAGAAATGGTATAGAATTCTCGAAAATCAATGTATTTCGATCCGAAAGCTCTGGTTCTCTTCAGGAGACTTTCAATAACAATGCCCAATTGTTTATTTAATCATTTTTTAATACCAACGATTTTTTATTGGTCCTCTCATTGCATTTTTGCAGGGTTTTTGTGGGGTTTTGGCGGTCCTATAAATTATAGTTGCGATAAAAATTTGGTTAAATAGGCAATTGGGTATTATTATTGGGAATCTCCTGCAGAGAAAGAGTTTTTTATCGAAAAATATTGGTTTTTTAGAATTCTTTACCATATCTACGAAAAGTTGTTTTTTCCCCATATAAAAATACATTAAAAACTTTGAGCGTTTTGAGCGGCCTCTAAATATTTTTTGATTCCTAAATAAAAAATCTTGGGTATACTTTTTCGGTATAGAACAACCCTAGCGGGTGAGAGCATAAAAATTCCGACTTTATGTTTTCACATGCATTTTTGGATCACCCTAGTGTAGAGTGTACTCTCTTGTTAAAATTAATAACACTTTTTTATGAACCATATTTTATTTATTTACCAAAATATTGTTAAAAACAAGTACTCTCGCGTTTATAGTATTATCTGTTACTTTTATTCATAATTTTGCTATGAACAAAAATTTACTGAAAAGTACTGATTTTTTAGCATGAAAAAGTCTAACGTACTGATTTCGCGCATAAAAACTCTGGCAACCCTAGTGTTTCCTTGATGTTGGACGTGACATTCGTATGACTTAAGAGCAGAGGTGCGCAGCCTCGGCAGAGCATTTTTGTAGTGTGCGTGCAATTAATGTCACTGTGTGCGTCCGAATAAGTCGTGCAGTTGAATGAAGCTTTCGCTGCCTTCTCAAGCATAGCGTGTATCTCTACGCGAATAAGGCGCGCAGTCCCCCGCAGGGCAGACGCTACCCAGCTGTTTTTAAAGTCATTTGAACTTGGGTTTTCGGTTTACATTTTCATGGAAATAAATGAGTTTTGCATACTTTAGTCTACATTTTTACTTTGACACTACGGAAAACCCAAAAACACTCCACCTTTTGGCTCACTTCACTCCGCTCGAAAATTATAAAACGGCGACGCTGATATGTTATGGAGGCGATCACGACGATAACGATGTTTAGCCTATAGTTAGTGTTAACCAAACATTGAGTAACAGTCGCTTAATCTGCTATAAAACTGCATACCAATTTTTATTGAATTTTTATTTCCACATAGTTTGAAGATTTAATTTATATACGGTTTTCGCTAGATAATGAACTATACTCTAGTAGAAAAATAAAAAACATTAATTAACAAAAGAGAAATAGTAAACACTTGTCAAAATAGCGCGTTTCTATTATTTTGGTCATAGGGGTTACCTTAATATAGAAAGGCTCTAACTCATTTTCTTTTGATATT